ACGGATACCCGCGAAACCGGTTTTTACCTGTGTACAACGGATAACGGGTGATTGTTAGTTTTCTATGTTACTTGTGGGTCTCTTCACTTCCGAACTCTAAAATTAACCCCTCGCGTACAACCTTGAGTTTGTGAGGTCGGAATAAATATTTGTTTGCTCATAAATTTTCGTAAAGGGTTCGGCAAAATTTCAAGATAGATCTGTTTGCAGATCAATTTTAGTGCGCTACTTTTTTTTAGTAAAGACTTTTTTGTATAAGTGATTTCAAGTGTTCTTTCGTATAAAAATGTTTTTTTATTTGAAAGTGACAAACAAAATTTTTGGACATGCTTTTTCTCGTTTTGATGTCATCAATCAAGAGTTCCATGGCGAGGGACCAGGATCTTCAAATCCACTTTAAATTTCATTATGACAGTTAAAATTGTTTTGTTTTATAATTTCGGAAAACCTAACCACATATGTGTAGAAATCTTTTCGCAAACTTTCCTGATATTTTTAAACTTCTGAATTTAGATGCGAAGGTATAGCAATATTCTGCAAAAATTTTCTGTTTGGAGCATTTATATTTTCAGTATGTACAAGCTGCAAAACTTTTGAATTAGGCAAATATTATTAACAGCTTGAGATTTTATATTTAAAGTTTTTTTCCTGTTACACATAGAGCAATGCTCCTATTTATTTTTGCACATATTTTCATTGTATAAAATTATTTATAATTCTGTACAACCAATACGATGTAAACTTTGCAGAAAAATATCAGTATTCTGTCGATAAAATTTTCAGCATCACCTAAAGGGATGTATTTGGTTGTACAGAATTATAAATGTTTTTGTATACTGAAAGCACGTGCAATAATAAATTGGGGTATTGTCCAATATATGACAAAAACGATAAAAAATTTTACAGTTGACATCTCGAGCTGTCAATGGGCGCAAATATTTACTTGATACAAAAGTTCTGCAGTTTATACGTACTGCACGTGCATTTTCTCCGCTAACGAAAATTTCAAAGAATATTTCTTCTTTCTTTCAACTGATGACAGATGCTCAAAAGTATACGAAACGTTTGCAAAAAGATATATGTACGTGGTTATATTTTCTCCGACATGGTAAAATAGAGCAGTACATATTTGGTCTGTTATTTTGAGCTGCACTGCTGAACTGGTGCAATAAGTTAAAGTGAGACAAGTATTTTTTCTCACTCTAACTTACTACACCAATTCAGCAGTGCAGCTGAGAAAAACAGACCAATTTATATTAAATCTATATGTAGAAAAAATACAATAAATATAGTATAATTGCGTGTGATGATTGCCTTTACATTATTGACATTCTTCGAGTTCGTCGTTTACTTCGGCATTCCCTTAAGTTCCGTAGAAAATCTTACACGCCGCTGTTGACAACGACCGTATGACCGCATTTCCTGAGCTTTGTTTCGTCGTTGTTCTAGAAGATAAAGAATCGAAAGATCACGCAATCTCCACGGTAAAATCTTGAGAACTCCGTCGCGTACTACACGGTCAGGTCGGGAGACTGGATTCACTCATGTCTTGAAATGAATCGATATTTCGAGTGCGCGCTTCACTAACGTACACAATCTATCGAGAAGCACGCTCTTATTGGAAAGTGAAGCTTTCGATAGTTTATCACTCCGTCGTTATTTCGTTGATCGAGTGTAGCGAAAAAATTGAGCGATTCGTTCGAAATGATGAATCTGTCAATGTGTGATACAGCACATAATAATTTAATAAGCGAATTAATTTCTCTCAGACCGTGTCTACTCGAAATTACCTTTAATTAGCAGACAAAAGAGTAAACATTTGCTATGTGAATATAAAAATTTTTGTATTGTAAATTATGTATACGATGTGTTTTGTAAACGGCGAAATATCAGTATGATTGTATTAGTAATATCATAGAAAACAAATAAAAAGTTGAAAATAATTCTAATGTATTAAATACAATAAAAATAATGGAGAAGGAGAAAGCATATAAGAGTCAGGTACAGTTAAAGTGCAATTAATATATTGTAATGTAATGAAATATAAATTACGTTTCGACCCGATTTGGGTCTTCTTCAGATAATAATATGGATAAACGCAAGAAGAAATAAAATAAAATACCGCAAAACGTAATTAAAAATATAGATCGAACTCGCATTAAAAAAGAACGTTGCGTTATAATGTATAGTGTATGTACAATATTATGTATAGTAAAGATATGACAGTATTATTATTATTTCTACTTTAACAAAAGAATAATGGTTTTACAAAAATTACCAACTTACATTAGATCAAATAGATAATAAATTACAAAACAGTTTCGATTCAAATGATTTGTTACAACAAATCTAAACGTATGAATATTAAAATAGTTAACCTCACCGGAGTTTCGGTTAGCTAGCGTATTTATACTATTAAATTTTTCATATGATGTTCTACGTAATGCAAAAAGAAAGATAATTCATTTTCATGTTTCTAGCGGACACATTAAGCTCAAACAACGTAAGTAACGATGGACTTGATGTACAACTGTTTCATAACTTAAACAAAAATTGATATTTGGTTATATAATGCAACAAAGAGAAGAGAATTCAATCTCAGATTTCTAGCGGTTACGTTGAGCTTAAACGACGTAAGTAACGATGGATTTGATATATAACCGTTCCATAACTTACACAAAAATAGATGTTTAGTTATATAATGCAATAAAGAGAAGAGGATTCATTCTCAGATTTTTAGCGGTCACGTTGAGTCCAAATGACATAAATAATGATGGACTTGATGTACAACTGTACCACATAACTTGTACAAAAATGGATATTTGGTTATATCTTGATCCGTTAAATGTATATTAACCTGTGATCTTAATCCTCTAACTGCGGGTCACTTGGAAGCAAGGTGCTCGCTGTATATAACCAAGATACAGCTATTGCAGTTATCACTGTGCGTGAGACAAGTTCGCATGTTACGATGTCGTTTATTGGTTATATAAAATTGTACTTCTCTTCAATATTTTATATTTTGCATTGGCGAAAAAGATTTCGTGGGCGATTATTGTCGAGAGTTTATAGGCGAACCCAGCAAGCGGTCTTTGCCGAGCGTTTATAGGTACTGATAATACACAGCGAATTTTTTGTCGAGCGTCTATAAAAACTGATAGCGTTCAAACAGTTAAATAAAAAAAAAATTGGTATCTTCAAACGGAAGTAATATATATTTTTCAGCTTTTTGGGGAAGCAAAAATCTATCCTTTTACGAAAGAATATCTATCCTTTTATCTATCTTTTTAAAAAAGAAATGAATAATATATTGTCGTCAAGCTTTGTCTTCGTCGTGAAGAATAGTATTGTTTTCAAAATATGGTACGATACTAAACACATGTAACAGAAAAACATATTAAACGTATTTTATTTGAAATTAAAAGTTGTATCAAATATTTCTATTTTCTCTTTCTGCCTCTCTCATTTCCTCCCTTTAAACTCCTCTTTTAAACCCCCTTTAAACTCTTCAATCAGAATGCGATTGTAATTGAATGGTGTGGTCTGTCCGAAATCGGACCGACTCATTGTATTTATTTATATCGTATTTATTATGGAATCAGAAATACGTTGATTAACATGAAAACAAAAGAATTTTCCCATTATATAAGTCGTAAAATATATATTAACTCTCCGCGTACAATGTTGGGTCTGTGATATCCCAACAAATATTCGATCGTTTATCAACTTTCGTAAAAGGTTTGTAAAGAGTTCGGAAAAATCTCAAATCAGCGCAGTTTTATTTGTAGATTTTGGTTTCATTGTATCTCGTAGTCAAGGCTTGTCCATTGCCTTGAAAAAATGTGTGCAAAAGCACTGATTTTCAACAAATTTGTACGTAGTTCAAAACTGTTCGGGTCTAACAGATTCAGATGTACGTCCTAAAAAATATGGTTGTACGCGGAGAGTTAACTCTTTCTCAGGAATTAAATTTATTCTGCGCGAAATATGAAATACGATGCAAAAGCAAGAGTTTCCAGTAGTCCTATTTTTTTTAATACTTTTTTAATGTCAGGTGTCGTCACGTAGATATGGTATATGTCGCGATATTATACGGCAATGTTACATAATAGCTACGTAACGACATTCTGATAACTGAATGATAATTGTATTGACGTTAACCTATTCGCGAAGGTGGTATGGCAGTTGCTATATTACCGCTGCATGGAAGAGTGGGCTACGCGTACATGTACGACGAACAAAATATTAACAGACATTTAACACAAGTTTAACAGAAGTTGAGAACAAATAGAATAGCGTATTTATCAGTGAAAAATAAAGGGTAATATAAAGTTATGTCTTATGGATCTTTGTTTCCAAGATACAGGGCGATAAAGTTTTTCGAAAGAAATGTTTGTTTAATAACTTTTGAACAGAGGAAGATATTTTTTAAACAACCTCGTTAAATTCTATATCTACGTCACAGGTTGAGATGTATAGTTAATTTTTTGTATTTCCTAACCTGTTAATTTTGGTGTGAATAATTTAAAATTTTTTATAGACCTTTATCAACTTAAGGTACACACCAAATTTCGTTTCAATATCTTCTTTTATTCAAAAGTTATTAAACATTATTATTTAATATTATTAAACATTTTTTTTTGAAAAATTTTAACGCCATGTATCTTAGAAATAAAGACCCGTAGGTCATAAATTTATATAAGAAAAACTCTTTATTTTTTTCTGATGAATATGTTTCATTTGTTACTAATCTTTTTGTCCTACTCTGTATACAGAAACATCTTTTATGACAAAACGAGAATATCATGTTTTTAAGAAAATATTGAGCTTTCACATTTATATATTTATTCAAATCCCTCGATCCATTGCCGATATTATTATTATGGCTGCGTCTTTATGCATTTTCAAATATCACTGGATACTCATTCCGCGTTATTTTTGTAGAACTTGGTTAAGATTGTGCAAACTGTCGTTGTTAACGTAGTGGGTGTTGTTCCCAGTGGTGGATCGTGGTCACAGGACTCATCATCCTTCCATGGTTCTTCGTTACGCTTGCGCTATCAGAGGAATCGTACGCGGAGCGCGCGGCTGTATAAAAGCAGCCACTTGTTGAGCGGCACGCATTCCGCCGATTCGCTTCCGCCGCGGATATTTCCTGCTCGACAACAGGGAGACACGCGCGGCAACCACGTCAGTATTTCCTGTATCGTGCGACTTCAAGTCATCATATCCTCGGCTTAATTCGTCGCGATCTGAGCGATCGACGTGGGACTCCCGACCAGGTCAGCCGATCATCAGCATTTGAAATTGACACGTGTCGAAATGTAGACTTTAATAGTTTTACGTGTTTCCTCACACGGCAAGTTGCTTGCGAGGATATTCTCGAATACGTGTGCACACGAACTTCATCGAACACGATGTGACAATCCGCAAACAGAAGTCCATCTGTTAAAGCGTACACGTATAGTGAGACATTTTGTATTAAATTTAACACAATTCACACATTTATCCATTCCAATTTTTGTGTTAACTTAATAAATATGTGAACAAATGACGCAAATAATATGTCGAAAATTAGCGCAAAAATGTGACACGTGGACACTATTGTGCTATTTTAACACTTGAAAATGGTGAATTAAACTAACACAGAATAATTAAAACAAAACGTAACGACAATTTGTGAAATTAATACATGTGGACGTAAAAAATTTAACGCAAACATTTCTCTCTACAAAGATGGACTTCAACTCAAATATAAAATATTTTTTTACTGTGTATTTCTCGCTGAAGTATTACAAAAAATGATATAATACGTAAATCAGAAGATTTCGCCGAAATAAGATAATATTGAAATATAATTTTGCACTGTATAAAGAGAAGAATCAATAATTTTTATGTTTCGTTTGTTTCATTATATCTACTTTTCTTTATCCTAAAGTTATTGTACAAAAGTGTTTGTGATTCTTTAATAAATTTGTTAACACAATTTTCAAAAGAAAAATCAATATATATTTAGAATCTTTGCGCAAGGTGATATTATTTAATCTGCACCTTGCGACATATCGCGATCGGGTTATGAGGAATTCGAAAAATTATTCCGACAGGATAAGCAATATGTCGGATCGTCAATGAAAAAAACGCGTCGTGCACATTAACAAACTAATATCTGTATGAAATGCCATTGTCACCTGGTACATGCCGCACGTGTATCGTTTTAATATTTAATTCGTTTGTATCCGCTGTATCGATTAATTAATTAAAGAAAGAACGACCTAAATGCGTGAAATGCTAAAGAGCATCATATTTTCTCGGTACAAATTGGATTACCTGAGGCATTTATGCGCACACGTGTCTTCATTATACTCGTCATCAGCTACAGAAAAAAGTCTTCTTATGTAACCTCGTTGCATCGGGAGAGTGCTTACTGACTCGGAAACAAAACGTTTCCGTAGTAATGCTTATCTGACTTTTTTGAGTCCAGATGAATAATATGATTTCTTAAAGTTTAGCTACCTATCTTCAAGTGGCACGTTCATATTATTACATAATAAATAACCTACTACTCTTAATTGTACACAGTATAAGATAAATTATATAGTAACATATCAAGAGATAAGTCATAATTGCGAGATGTACATAATTAGCATTTAAATATTCGATAAAATATAGCTCGTCAGTGCAACTTTACTGCTTCCGACTGTGGTCTCAATTAAAGTGATATTTATTATCGTTGTAATTTCACCACGACAGAAATATCGTCGGAGAATATTTAATCTTCTTTAGCGCAATAATAATAATAATAATAATAATAATAATAAGTCGAAAATACTTAATTGGAAGAGAAAATTAAAAATATTTTACCTGATTTTGTGATCGGGTAATTTTAGTAAAGCAATATATATAGTCTTGGCTTTGGGTCAATTTTTATTAAATTGCAATATGTAAGTAAAATTGAGATCAACAATGAGTGCAATGTTTATTTTAGATATTTTATCAGTAATTTTACGTGTTTAACATTTATCAATTTTTTTTTTGAATTTATTATATGTTGTTTTCTTAGTTTGCAAGAATTACTTTAATTTTGCATAATTTATTCAAGACGATCTGCGTATTTTTCCGCAAAATATTAAAGATTTTTAAAAATGTAATTACATAGAAGGACTTTCGTGTACTGCGCGGTGTAACGTATTGGTGTCCAATATAAATCGACGAAATTGGATTACCTGATAATCAGCAGAGAGCGTTTCGAGAACGTTACTGACCTAACTGGCATTTACTGACATTTTCTTCGTTGAATCGCGAATCGGAGAGTCCGCGGGCGGCCGACGGCGGCGCGGTGGCGGCGTCGCGGATAAATCGCTCGGCGAACCGCACAGCGACAGTGAAAGCTACGGGAAATTACAAAAGTCGGAAGCGGAAACGGAGGAAGGACGAGCTTTTAATATCGCCGGGCGTCATTCTGGCTTCAGATCCTCGCGACTGCCTATGACCGATTCGATTTTCCGTTCCACGCTCGTCTCACGATTCTTTCCGCCTTCGCGAGGACCGTCTTGTCCGACAATCCTGGTCCTCCTGTGGAGGATTCATAGCATTCATAGCTTGATAAGAAATTTGCGAATACACTAATATTCGTCCAATGTGTTTGATAAGCGAGGAATCGGTGATGACGCAAGTAATCAGAGACAGAAAAAAATAATAATGACACAAAAGAATTTTTTTTCTAGAGAAACGAGAAGAGGGAAACTAAAGAGATTATGTCTCGTTTTTCTCTCTATCGGACAGACGGCTTTTCGCCGTAGCATCTCTCACAGAAATGTATGCAGTTTGCGTAGACATCGGCTCAGTTATGATCCAGTATTATTGGACTCTCATTAGTTGTAAAAATACTGGACAAAAACTTGATAGAATTTTATTCAGTAAAGCAGTTCGATTGAAGCAATTTACTACACAATTAGATTATTCTGATGGTAATGATATAAATAAAAACTGTCAGGATAGAACCTACTCAGACTCAGAACCTGATGAAATAGTACAACTACAAGAATGAATAAAAGGACATATGTCATTTGATGGTCGTAAAAGATGTTACGTGAAAGGCGAGAAACATAAGAGGGAAAATATATGACGCGTCAAAGACTTCTATCATTAAACTTTTTTAATTAAAATAACATATAAAATAACATTGGCGCAAATTTGTCTATTTTGTGAGTAATAGACTTGATTATTAGTTATTTGAATAGTTTCTTGTCTTTTTTCTATTGTTTTTTTTGTCTTTTTTCTGTTGTGTTTTCATTCAGTAAATAGGTTCAGATATTGTGCACAGTAATTGCAAAAAAAGCGTTACATCCTGGACTGGAATCTCAGACAAATTTTATTCTTCAGTTAGTGAACAAAAATTAACATAATTGTCCAGTAACTGCTCGAAAACTGCATTAAGTTTCTACTAGAGATCAAAACATAAATTCCTCTAAATTTTAAGTGAGATAATTGTATCCAATTATTCTATGATCAGTTCCAACTATTTGTAAGGATTGATATTTTATGTCTGTTATCTCTTCTTAGAAACTTTCAAAGAATAAAGAAGAAATATAATTCTAGTTTTCTCTTAAACATACAGAATAAAATTTTTTCTATTTTGCAGTTATCATATAATATGATTATCATATCGTGTGTTAAATAAAATTTGAACCATCGAAATATATGCGGCAATGTCATCTGACGTTCAACAAGACCAGTTTCGATTATTAATCACACTCTAAGGTTGGACATTTCTCGGATTTACTCACGACAATGTGCGACGGCACAGACACGAGCGAATACATCGGATCTTTGCGTTGGCTAAGAGTGAGATTCTGTGTTTTCCGAAATGAGATTAGCCACTATTTACGTACACGCAACATACGACCTTATCTTCATTTCTACTTCACTTTGTAACTCTGGGTGAATGTTAATCTTGAAGAATTGTTACGGATCTCAATAATGCAGGGAGTATATAGGTTTAACAACTTTTGGTTATTTCAATAAAATAATATAAAAGTAAGTTCCTGCAAATGCATTTCAAGCAACAAAAAGCCAGACTGGTTGTTTGGAATTCTCGTTAAGTGCAGTGTATCATGTTTTCACTTAATAGTTTGATGGCCATTGTTGCGTATACGTGACTTCACTCTGCCAACGATTATCGGTCCGTGTCATATGTTTCCGCGAAACATGTGACTATCCAAGAGTCGACATCACGGCGATTTTATTATAACAGAAATTATAAATTTACCACCTAATACCTAAGACTGAAGCTCAAATTAAAAAATAACGGAAAAGATTGGAATATCCCTCTAATTTTGGAACATTTGTAAAAGAATAACTCAGAAAGTTTTATAGACAAAAGCGTTTTATAGACCAAAAATTTGGTCGAAGTTTGGAACTCAAGATTCGATCGGAACAATCGTAATGGATTATTGTTGCGGGCCCAGTGTTATACTTTGGTGTTAAAACGCGTTACCATGTTGGCAGAGGCGACCTGGTGATGACCGATCTGGTTCTAGGCCGTGACGAGATATTCTAACAAGCTCGACGGCCATGTGACGCCAGCGGCGATCGATGGTGAATCCGTAGAAATAAACGATGAACTCGCATCGCGAATTTGCACGCTAGGTCAACGTCGCTCGCCCGTTCTCTCGTGATCAGCGTGTCAACGCGGCTCCCACGTGAGAATCTCGTTGTGAGCAAAAATTTCCTCGCCCCATCGTCGTGTTCGCGGATCTCTTTGTAATTTCGCAGCGTCGACTTGCGTCGTCGGGTGGTCGAGTCTAGATCAGTGGTAGAGTCTAGATCAGTGTGTGTAGCAATCTTTCTGAGCTGACGAGGAGTCGTCACATGATACCGATAAGGTACGATTAGTGAAGCATCTTAAACGAGCGGCAACGAATCAGAATTGGCATTTTGATAGAAACGCTGCTTTTTCGTTACGCATGCGAAGTCCGCAGTTATTTTCCGTCGCTATTTTTAAGGGACAGTAATATTTCTTCAAGGAAGTATTACATCTGACATTTAACGATTGTAACTTTTTCCGGGAGAGAAGGTTCTTTGTTTGTCCACCACTCGATCATCGTTGTCAATCGATTGCAACAGAAAGACCTTTTGCAGCATTTTCCATGCAAAGAAGATTGATATTTTAATGAAATTGTTACATACGTATACACATACACACACACGGCTATAATACATTGAGAGGAAAAATATATAAAAAAATAATAAATATTTTTTTGGTGGATACTAATATATTTACATAAATCAAAATTCTTTTGTTTAAATAGAATAAACAATTAATTCCATAAAAAGTCAAGGTTTCCTTAAAATTTTATGAAAATATGCATTTTACTATTTTTGAAAAGTTTAATATACATGTATTAATATAAATATATTAATGTATTAATATAAGATATATTAAAAAGCTTTATG